CACTTGCTGCAGAAATGTTGTTCAGCAGGCTCAAGTCAAAAGCCAGCGCCTCCACCACCATGCGTGCAGGGTCCACGATTTCAAATAGCACCTCGCGTGCATCCACCACCTGGCCTGCGACGGCATTTGACAGTGACACCACACCGCTCACGGGTGCAACCAGTGATTCGGTCGCCGACACCGAACGCGCCACAGCCGCTACCCGTGCCTGCAGGCTTTGCACATCGGCCTGTGCGGCTTCAATATCTTTCTGCGGCACCGTGCCTTCAAGCTGCGCATAACGCGCGGCGCGGCGGCGTGCCAGCTCAAGCTGCGCCGACAGTTCAGCACTCTGCGACTGCTGGTTGGCGCGCTCAATCGCCCCGGCCGATGAACGCACCAGCGCCAGCACCTCGCCCTTGCGCACCACTTGGCCGAGTTGCGGGAGACCGCGGCTGCCGGGCTCGATGCGACCTGGCTGGGTCGCCTGCACACGCCCACCGGCATTGGCGTCCATGATGACCTTGCCTGACAGCTCAACGGTTTGCGGCAGGTCTTTTGCCTCTGTCAGAACGGTGCGCACAGCGAGCTGGCGCTGCGAGGTCTTGGGTAAAAACACATTGCCATCGGGCAGGCGTTTTGGGCCGTTTCCCGCTGCTGCGGGCGCTGCCTCGCCATGGTCATGGCCTTCACCGGCATAAGCCATGGCGCCACTGAAAAGCAAGGCCATCGCAAAAATCGAAATCTGTATTTTTTTCATGATGATTTTTCCGCGTTCAGTTGAAAGACATGCGCTTTGCGCGAAGTCTGCGAAAAATAAAAGCTGCGCCTGCCAGCAGAACGATGACGACAAGGCCATAGGTCAGCCAGCGCGACCAGGGCTTGCCTGCCTCCACATGGGCATGGTCGTCACTGATACTCAGGTCGCCAGCCAGAAGATCGGTATCTGTACCTGCTGTCACCGTGAAAGAAAAAGGCGTGTTGCCTGGCTTGCCCAATGTGTCGAGCTTGACGAGGTATGTGCCATCTGGCTGCGGCGCTGCCGTGCCCTTGGCTGCACCAGCTTCGAAGTCGAGCTTTGCGCCAATCACGGGTTCATTGCTTCCGTAGCGATCCAGGTAAACCACCATCTGACCCTCACTGACGATACCTACCAGTTCAAACAGGTCGGAATGCGCAGTCATGCGGGGGCTTGCGGTTTGCCCTGAAACCGCGTTGCCTTCGCCATGGTCATGGCCTTCTGACGCAATGGCTCCAATGGCGGTGACAGCCAGCACCAGGCTAACAACAAATGTGCGAAATGTACTGAAGCGCTTCATGGGAGTATTCCAAAGGCCTGGTTGAGTTTTGAGATGGCACGGCGTGTTTCCACACGGGCACGAGCATGGGCAAGTTCTGCGTCAAAGCGTTCGTTGTCGGTACGCAGACGGGTCGGAAGGTCGCTCTCGCCGAGTCGGTATGACTTGACGATCAGGGTTTGTGCTTCTGTACTCAGACGTGACCTTTCAGCGGCAAGCAGCTCGGCGCGACGCGCGGCTTCAAGTTCAGTCCCTGCGCTTTCCTGGTCGGCCTTGACGGTGCGCGCCACAGACAGTGCATCGGCCTGCGCGGCATCCAGCTCTGCCCTTGCCGCGGCCAGCCTTGGCGCGTTGCGGCCGTAAGTGCCAAAGGGAACACGCAAGGTGACCTTGAAGGCGGTATCGCTGGCCGCACCAAAGGCGGGCCGCTCACGCGTCACACCTACACCGACTTCTATGGGGTCGCGCCTGTCTTTCTCGGTCAATGCCAGCCTGGCCTGCGCGGCACGCAAACGGCTGTCTGCCGCCAAGATGGCCGGGCTTTCGCGGCCCACACCTGTGGCCTCGTCCAGCTCCGCGATGTCTGCCAGCCCGGTCAGCGCACGCCACTGCCCTGCTACTCTGGCCGTGGCGCTTTCAGCTTGGGCCTCCACAGCCGCAGCCTGCCGTTGAAAGGCTTGCGCCTGCAGCAGGTCCAGCCGCGCCACCTCACCTGCCTTGACCCTGCGCTCTACGTCACGGGCCAGCAGCGCCGCCTCCTGCTGTTTGCGCTGGGCCACCAGCGCCTCGTTGCGCGCCAGCGCCGCCTGTGCGGCAAGGTCGCGCACCTCGGCCGCCAGCCTGATTTTGGCCATCACCAGCTCCTGGTCAAAGGCCTGCCGGTCGGCTTGTACGGCTGCAGACGTGGCAGAGCGAACACCCGGCGACCAGATCGGGAAGGCCAGCGCAGCTTCAGACTCGCGCAGCCCGCCATTTTTGGCTGGCCGGTCGCTGCGGTGCGACAGCGAAATGCTGGGCGGACCCGAGATCAGCGACGATGCGGCCTGCGAGCGGGCGTCCAGCTCCGCCTGTCGATTGGTAAGCGATTGCGCCTGCGGGCTCAGCGCCCAAGCAGCTTCAACCGCAGAACGAAGGGATGAGGAGGTCTGGCCATGCGCCGATAACGCAAGCATGGCAAACCCCAGACTGACAGCCCATTTCGGGCGTAAGAAAGACAAAAGCATTGAGTTCTCCGAAAGTCAAAAAGGACATTTCGGCGAACCGCAAAACGGTCTGAAAAGATGAGAGGTGTTTAGCGGCCGCCGTTCAGGCGGCAGGCCATTTCGGACGTTCGTGCCGGGCGTTCGGTGCCCCACGAGTTACTTGGCTGGTCAAATCGTCGATAAGGTGAGCGCCACTGCCGAACAGGCTTTCTGCAGATTCCATGGCTATCAGGGTATGAAGCCCATTGCACCCATGTCCTATTGAGCAACAGGTGTCAGTGAGGTCCTTCTTTTCGTCTATCGCATTCATTTCGCCTAAGCCCGAATCGCTAATCAGCGAGTTTGCAGGCTTGGCGAGCGAAGTATGGTCGATGCTTTCGCCACATACGTGAACAGCTGCCAAACTGATTTGCAGAGGCAGTAGCATGATCAAAAAAATGACGAACAAGCGCTTCATGCGGTTAATCATAGCAAAGCGATATTACAAATGGCAACGAGTGAACTTCATTCGCGTCAGGGCATTCTCTATATTCAGGCGTAGAACGGTACCGGCCAGGATGAGTGTCTACAGACCATTTTTATCAGTGCTTTTTTTCAGAGCTGCAAGGGTTTGGCTTATCGACTGCACCACCTAAGCGCCGGCTCGCCAAGAACCGCATTTCACAATCCCCACAGGCGGTAGTTTCAAAGCTTATCAAGTCTCAATGTTCCCTCTAACGCCTCTTGCTTTTTCCTCTTGGGCTCAGTGGTTTTTTTTTGATCTTTTCCGACTTTCTGCGCCCTCGGTCTCGCCAAAGAAAATACAAAATAATTGCCAGCAGCGCAACGGCAATCATTCCACCGGCAAAGAGCACAGCGCCCATCGATTCATGGGTTGCGTTGGCAGGGATGTGAAACCTGGATGAAGGCATGCCAAACCTATAGAGGTTGCGGTGTATGACCTGTGTCGTTGTACAGGCCGAAGGGGATCTCGTAAAGAAATGGCATTACTTAGGCCCGTCTTTCTTGCGAGGAGTTTTCCAGATCGCCTTGGTGTTTAGGAAACCTGAGTGTAAAAACAGTTTCTTTGTCCAGCTCACTGGTGACTTCGACTTCTCCGCCATGCGTGCGCATGATGGCGCGTACGATAGCCAAACCCAGACCTGTACCACCGTCTACTCGTGTTCTGCCGGAGTCGATCCGGTAAAACCTGTCAAATATCCGGTCAATGTGCAGTGAGGATATGCCCTTACCTTTATTGCTAACGCACAAACAAGCCATCCCACGCTCTTCAAAAATTTCGACGACAACCTTCGTTTTTGGAAATGCATGTCGTATAGCGTTGGATAGCAAATTTGTAATTGCCCGCTGCAATAAAAGTCGGTCAGCCAAGGCAGATGCCCTGCCCCGAATCTCAACCGCGACATGACTTTCGTCCGCTATAAGGGAAAGGTAATCACCCACCCTCTGCGCC